CTTCTTTGATTATTTTTAATAAGGCTGTATTCCTTCCTTCTCCTTCCTTCATTATAACCTTCTCTCTCTTTTCTCTCTTTCACTCTCTCTTTTCTTCTTTCTTTCATCTGATTCTCCTTCCTTCTCTTTTCCTTTCTTTTAAAAAAACGTTAAGAGTTTTTATTATGTTGTTCCCTTAAATGATACATGGTTGGTAAATATTTTCATTCATTCTATAGGCTGTCTATTTGCGGTTCATTTCCTTTGATGTGGAGATTTTCCCCATATTTTCTTCCAGGAGTTGTATTGTTTTAGGTGTTATTTAGAACTTGAACTCAATTTTAGCTGATTATCTCACCATTCTACCTATTAAATCTTTGGGAGTTATATTTAGAATTGTTAATTCTTCAAGCTTTAGTTTATTTCTGAACCCTCTGTTCTCTTTCATTGTTCTATGTTTTCTGTTCTTGTGCCATCAACATTCTTTTAATTACAGAAATTTTGTGATATAATTTTAAATCAGGAGTTGTGATGCTTGAACCTTTTTTTTTCTTTTCTCCCCTCAGAATCCCTCTGGCAATTCAGTCTTTTGTGATATTTTGTATTTCTATTTCAGAACAAGCTAATACATCTCAAGGAACTAAAAAAGGAAAGAAAATATAAAAGTCCAACATTAGTAGAATAGAATAAGGAATTATGTCGGTAATAAAAATAACTTTCTGTAAAATCAATAACTCATGACATGATGTCTTGCTGAATTTGCTAAACATTTTAAAATGAATATATGGTAATCCTTCACTGATTTTTACCAAAGTTGAAGGAAATTTCATACTTATTTGATGAAGCCATTATTATCCTGATATTAAAGCTATGAAAGAATTTTATAAGAAAAGGAAATTATATATCCTTAATGAACATCTCTAACAGTAATTGAATTCAATGGTGAACTGAATTCTACAGCATTGTAAAGGACTATCCATATGATCAAGCGAGATTTAACTCTTGGATCTGAGGATTTTTCAAGCCATACAAATCAACAGGTGTGATCTATCACACAAACAGAATAAAGGACAGAAAACAAAAAAAATCTCAATAAATACAAGGAAATAGTCTCAAATTAATATCATTTCATGATAAAAATTGTCCAGAGATACAGAGGTACTATAAATTAACACAATTAAGACAATCATACTTAATGGTAAAAAATGGAAAGCTTTCCTTCCAAGATCTGGAATGAGGATACCTACTCTATATTTCTGTTTAGCATACTATTAGAATATCTAGCCAGAGCACTACGATGAGAAAAAGATATAAAATCCAAAATCAGAAATTATCTCTGTAGATGGTATAGTCTTATATAAAGAGAAAGCTCTAAAGTTTCCACCATAAAACAAATTCAGTAAAATTTCAGGATACAAAACCAACATAAAAATTAGTAGCACTTCTATAACTATTAGACAAAGAAAATAAGCTCATTATGATATTATAAAACATTAGAATAAATTTGACTAAGTAGGCAAAAGATATCTACAGGGTCAACTATGAAACTTGATGAAAGAAATTGAAGAATACAGATACAAATAGGAAGACAGCATGTTTTTATGGTTTAACAACTAATATTGTTAAATTGTCCATACTACTCAAAGACATCTACAGATTCAATGACATTCTCATAAAAATTTCTATGGTATTTTTCAAACGAATAGGAAAAAACATCCACCAAATATGTCTGGGTTAAAGTGGTGGAGTCTACCATTGAAATGTTGGCATCCTTGTCTAGGTTATAGAAAAAGATAATAAAAATAAATAGGGCCACTAAGAAATGATATATTCCTAGCAGGAGTAAAAAGACTTCAGTGAAAAAAAGTCATCTATTAAATGCAATCTCAAATAAGGAAGGCTTTCAGAATGTCAACTGTAAGATTGTTTACAGTATGTTTTGATTTTTCAGGTAAATTAAGGAAAAAAAATGAAAGCAAGTGAGGTTTATGTCAATAAAAATGTGCCTGGATTTACCACTTTCACTTTTTACTTGACATTTCAATAAAATATGACCCTCACTAAACCATTTATTACCTTAGTACCTATTAGATGTGTTTGTAATTAATATTAATTATATATTTTCTGCTCTTGTTGGAATGTAAGCTTCATGAGGTTTTGTCTGCTTTATTTAAAACATTCTAGCATGCTAAGCACATAGTAGGATCCCAATAAATAAATTAAAAATTAAAAAAAATGAATGGATGAGTGATTCTGTGATAAATTCTGATTCATAAAGGAGACAGTTGATCACCTGTGTTCAACTGATGAAACTGTAATAACGTTTCAGTTTTCAAACATGGTTACTTTGCTCAAGTTATTCGGCTTAATTTTCAAATACATGAATTCATTTAAAATGGAAACTGAAGTGATTACTTTGAATATAAATCTTTATCCCTATTGTGAACTTATCAACAGTGTATGTATACAATAGGTAGTGTAGGTGGAAAAGAAGAATAGAAAAATGAATTTGTACTACTGTGTCTGTAACCATTATTTCTCTTCCATTGTATTAGTATCATAATCTAGACATTTACATACATTGCATTTGTCTCCTCTCTTGTATAGAATACATTTGATTACTTTATGCTTTATTTCTGGATAGAAATAATTAGAGCAATAGGTTTGATAAACATACAACCAGAGAAGGGATTGAGTTGGATAATAAAAAACCCCAACAGATGAAACTGGAGAAAATAAGAGGTCAACAATGGAGACATTTAGGTATTTGAGATGAATGGAAAAGACCAAACTAACTACTAGAGAGAATTTGGTAAGAAATTAAAGCAAACAAACAAGAGATTCTGACTTGTACCCAAAACCCAGCTGACATTAAACACTGTGAATTTGGAGTAAATCCACTTGGCAGAGATACTAGAATGTCTCTAATAATATTCAGTAGCCCAGAAGTATAGAAAATGAAAGGCTATGGTAACCCAGGAGCAGGGTAATATTCCGTTACAATGGAAGCGTGATAGAAATATTAGACATCTCCACCCTATTGAAATGCCAGGCCAAATTTGTAAATTCAAGTGTTTTATAGAATTCATGGAATGGAATGACTACTCAAAATACATCTTCATGCTGATTTTTTTTCACACTTTAGCTAAAATTGCTTAACAATATTTTCTAGCTGACTCAATATTTTCTAGTCTGACTCAAGTTAATGATAGGATCTATAAATAATGTGTGATTTTCTACCAGTAAAACCCTATGTGTGGAATTGTACATTTTTAACCAAACTACATTGGAGACAATATACTATAAAGCTTTGTAAAGGTCTCTGGGCCATTCCAAAACAGAGTTGAAGAAACAACTACTCTTTTTGCCATGTAGACATTCTTACTGTCTTCAAAATTTTGATTGAAAAGTCTCTCAGGCACATTTTATTTTTAAAAACATTTATTAAATTTATATTTAGCATGTACTTTGTAATAGTGTGATAGATTCCATTGTCTTAGTTTCAGGTACTCTATGAGTCTGCATTAAGAGATACCCATGTAGAAACCAAAATTGGCATAATTATTTCACCATGTGCTTTCATAAGGAAACATGTCACTCAACAAATAGTCTTAGGTCTTAAGGCCCTATCCAGTGTTTCTTCTACCCTCATTTCAGTCTTTTTTTTTTAATATTGGCTTTATATATAAGCCATTTTGTTGTGTTTAGTCTGGGTACAGAGAAAAATAAGTCTATTCCACACCTGGGAAGACATGTGCCTCCATTACCATCTTGATACTTATGAGTGCTTATTTCATAAGACAATGTAAATTAGGATTGTCAAATCAGAAACACAAGAAATTGGCACCACAATGTGCCAGAGAACATTAACATATCCAACTTGGATTTCTAATTACCATCAACACTAAATACCAATAAATAAGGAATGAGAAGTCCTATTAATAGAATAATATACCCACTGATTCTAAGAAATATTTGATCCTTAGGCCAAATCAGACCTCAAAACTTGTATAGCTCATGCCTCAGAGAAATAATCTATTCTAAAATGTGCCACTAACAGTAGGCTACAACTGAGAAATACTATGAAAGCTGTAATACTGTATCCATAATAAAATTTGGCCCTGAATGGGAATGCAGGTCTATAATCCCAGAACTTGAGAGACTGAGGCAGGGCCATCATATGTTTGAGGATAATTTGGCATATAGAGTGAGGCCCTGTAAATAACAATAAAATGCAATCGATAAAATTAAAATTACATATTTCTTAACTTTTATGACTTATACAGATGGTATTAAGAGTACATTTCACAACATTCCCCTTTATGAAAACAACAGCAGAATCCTTAGCTTTGTACCACAAGCTTCTGAACAATTTAAATTTGTATGTTGAAACATATCAAACCAAATGGTTTTCTCATGTGTCTGCCAGAAAGTCCACGTTAAAGCCTGAAATAACTTCAATTCCTTATGACATGTCTTAGGTCATATATTGGCCTTATCTTCAATTTCACTATCCTTCTCAATGTAAATTTTCCTCACATTTGTTTTAATTCGGTAATACTGTTTGCTCTTGGTATTTGGTCGCCTTTATTTTAGACACAGATGAGTAAGAGCATGTCTTTTGAACTCTGGGCCTGGGCGTTGTCCTGCGCTCTTCAGCTCAAGGCTAGTGCTCTACCGCTTGAGCCATAGCGCCACTTCCGGTTTTCTGCTGGTTTATTGGAGATAGAAGTCTCACAGACTTTCCGACCCTGGCTGGCTTTGAGCCGTGATCCTCAGACCTCGGCCTCCTGAGTAGCTAGGATTACAGGCGTGAGCCACCGGCATCCAGCTTAAGAGTGTGTCTTGAGGGGGACCGTAAATAAGCCTTTGGCTTGTCTAGACTCAGAAGAGGGGCTTAAGGGGTGCTTGCCACTCTGATCCCTAATTGTTTCTTTCTCTTAGAGGCTCTAAAATACGGATTTTTCTCCCACAGTATAACTATAAGACAAACTTTATAAAATGGCAGACATAAATATTACCTGGAGTACTGAAGCTCCACTGTGGAGAAACTGAAGTCCACTTTCCGCCGAGTCAATTCCACCGGTGGCCAAAATAGGGAATCCAGGCAAAGCACGGGCAATGGAAGTCACGGCTCTCAATGCAATAGGTCTGATCGCTGTCCCTACAGAAAATAACATCATTAGGTAGGCCATTAGCCACCAAAGCATGTCAACTTCTATTTACCATTATGGTTTTGCTTTTGTGCTGGTACTGGGGCTAGTTCACATTGGGGGCCCTGAGCAGTCATTTAGCTTCTTCACTCAAAGTTGGAGTTCTACCACTTGAGCCACAGCTCCACTTCCTGCTTTTTATTGACTAATAGGAGATAAAGAGTCTTGAGGACTTTTCTTCCCAGGTTGGCTTTGAACCATGAGCCTTAAGATCTTAGCTTCTATAGCTAGGAATAGAGATGTGAGCCATTGGTGTCTGGATACATTTACCATTATGTAATGATTATGTTTTATTGATCCAATTTCACATTTCACCATCTCTAAGATGTATACACATATATAATGTATGAGCCCTTTCTTTCATATACACTACCTTGTTGTTCGATGAATACTCATTTCAAGGACTTTGAGGCTATTGTCGAAGTTGTGCTCTGAAAATGGGTATAGCAGCCTCAGAAATCTTATGTCAAATACATGTAAATTACAATTTGATATATATGTATAAAGATTGTATGGAACATTTAAGCATCTGTTATATTAAAAAAAGGACAAGGAACAGCAGGTTCTAGAAACAAAAACAATCAATCTCATACAGAACATAAGTAGACATTCAACTATGTGATATCTGATCAAAGTGTAATGCAGCTGGTGTAAAAACAGAGACTCCCTACACAGGCACAGTGCTGAAGAACTTACAGATTCCATAGTAATTTGTACATTTATTTTCCATAGTTGGGAGAAATATAGTGAGCCTTATGTTGTTTTTCATATATTAGAAAGTTTGAAACCAAGAGAATTTACTGGGCTCCAGCACTTAGACTCTGTCTATATACATACACTTATGTATATCCCCATATATTTTAATTAGCCAGATTAGTATATTATCATCTAATAATCATGAAAACTACATGGATGAAGAGAGTACTTTGAAGTCATTTTAAACATGAACACACTGTTTGGTGCTTTAAAGATTACACATCCCAGTGTAAATTAATGCTTTCACTTACTGACTTCAATACTAAAGATTGAACCAAGTGTTAGTCAAGTGTTCTAGTCCCCAACATGCATACCCCCAGCCCTTTTATTTGTAATTTGGTTTTGTGACAGGGTCATGCTAACTTTGTTCATACTAACTTTGAACTCAGGATCCTCTAACCTCTCCATCCCCCAAACTTGGGATTATGGCTATGCCCATCAGGCTTAGCTACATTAATGCTTTTATAGTAGGAATAGAATTTGATATTTCTAGTGTTCAGTCAAAAGTCAGTAGTCCCTTTGAAGGCCTTTCCTGAACTAAAGACAAGTTCTACTTGTGCAAGAATTTGATATTGCCTTAAATCAATGCCCAAGAAACATAAATCTGCAATTGGTTCAGCCTCATGTGGAACCCTCACTACCACCTCCACTACCATCAGATTATCAGTACAGATTTATTGCAGGATTTCAAGGGAGTAGAATGGACTTTCCTTAAAGTGAGTGGCTTTTAATTTGAAAGGTTCTACATGGTATTAGTCCCATGACTAGATGATATTCTGGAATATGCAAAACTATGGAGAAAGGAAAAATTTAGAGGGAGCAGGCATTCAGGGGGAGGAATAGATGAGTGGACAGAGCAGAGATGATTTTCCAAAGATGTGAAAGCATTATGTGTGATATACTAGTAGTGAATGCACTTTGTTATACATCCACCCAAATTCATAGACTGTAGGGCACAGGTCTAAACCTAATGTAAGCTATAGGAATGGGACATAATCATGTGTCAGTCAAGGTAATCAATTCCAACCAATGTACTACTTTGCTCCCATTTGTTGAAAACAAGGAAAGGTGCGTCTACAGGGCGGATGGTTGCTATATGGTAATCTCCACACCCCCCTCTTGGTTTTGTGGTGAACAAAAATGTTCTACAAAGGAATTATTATTTGTTTAACATGGCTTTCTTTTTATCCTTTCCACAGACAGCAATTCAGATAAAACTAAATTTCCGTGCAATATTTGTTGAAATGTCTATTTGCTCCTCTGATATAGACTAAAAAACAGCTTCTTGTAGGATATAAGTATTTCTTAGTTGAGATTGTTTAATGCTGACCCTTCAGAATTCTATAATGGACAGTTGTAAGTCAAGGGAAATTAGAAAATGAGATCCTGATTCTGCAATTGTATCAAAAATATTTACCAATGATTTATTATTTTAGAATTTTCTATCTTAACCATTGAAAATAGCTGGCCTAGTAGATGGGATAAATTAGGGAACATATATCTGCAAGTATATATGTATATCTTTAGAGTCATTCCAAAGAAACCTGAAGAACAATAAAAGTTAAAGGAAAGCAGCATTTTTATAGAAATCTACAACTTCAACCTTCAGACAGATGTACAGCGATCTCCATATAATGTACTACCCCATGCAAACTAAGCTAATGGGTTCTTTATATACATGCTACTTTGAAGTAATAAAGAAATATTGGAATTCTCCCCCTTCCCTACCTTATTGAGTTTACCCAAGAGACTAAAGGAAATTTGAACTAAGCAGATAAATAATTTATTTCTAACTGCACTGTTAGAAGACTATCATTAGCACTAAGGGGTAACATTTCAAAGTGCTATACAGGGAATTGGCTGCAGATTCCAGTTGATATTAATGGACATCAAATGGGAAAAATCCCAGGACTCAGCTTTGAAAATTTAACCAGTTACATTTAAAGGGCAACATTATTACACAGGTGTTAAAAAGCATCAGCAAATCTTCGCTGGCATTTGAAGATGTTCAATTAGGTCAATACGACATTTTCTCTTTCATGTTTCTCTTTCATTTTTAAAACTTTTCTAATCTACCTAATGAACATAAAAACCTTTAAAATTAATAAAGGCATCTCTGTGGTTTTTTTTTCTTAAATTAAAAGTAATTATACTCTCTGGAGAAATGGAGTGTCCTATTATCAGGAAATAGTAAATTCAATTCCTTTATTCATTATAAACCCTATTTGATTTTTTAAAAAATTACTCACCTGATTTTTTGATGAGTTGTTCTTTTTATTTTAAATATATATTTTTTATTGAAAAGATACTGTACAGAGGGATTACAGTTACATGAGCAAGATAATGAGTCCATTTCCTATCGAGCATTGTTACCTCCTCCTTTGTTCTTCCCCTACCATCCCTTTCCTCCCCCCTCCCCCATCTCATCCCTCCCCCCCCCCACAAAATTGTAAAGCTCATTTTCAACATAGTGTCTTGTACATCTCATTGGTACAATGGGTCATCCTGTACCCTTATTTTATATGACATATACTCTACTTGCTCTCAGGATTTTTATGGAGAATAGGTTTTACAATGACTTTCATTCACAAAATAAAATAGGTGTCTGGAAGAAGTTGAATAGTTTTCTATATGATATTATATAAATTTCTTTTTATTTTTAATATGGTAGGAATAAAAATTTCAATGAAGATGAAATTTTCAGTGTAAAGAAAATATACCTATTAATATAATTTGGAGGTATACATACACACATATATCTGTTAAAATGCAAGACAAATTATAGCTATGGAGTTGATATTGAGATTGTTAAGGTTTATCTCATTTCTGTAATTATAGCTTTTAGGATAAAAACTAGGGGAAAAAAGAAGCCAGTTTGAGAGGCTTGCTTGAGAAATGTGAAAATAGACTCTATCCTGAAGGAAATAATGAAGTTTAAATCAAGAAATTGAAATCCTATTATCTTCAAAAACTAATAGATAACATGCAATTTAAATTAAGTTCTCATTTATGTGGGTGCCCAGGAGGTGAACATGACCGGAAATTCAGTTTCATTAAGCTACTCTCTTTCAGTTGTACAGAATCCTTCAATAAAACAGAGGCCAGTCTCGGATCCTCATGTTTTAAAACAAGCCGCCTGCTCCAATAAACAAACAAACAAAAAGGAGCTGATCTTTGCTTTGCAATGTTTCTACCAAGAATTCTGAGTTTTACTAGAGTGGCTCTCAAGGACTAGCTGATGGGCTAGATTTTCTAGTTTCTAATCAATCTCTGCCTTCCATGTTGTCACAACTTAAAATTCAAATCAGTGCCTTGAAGTAAAGAATTTCCTCGATAAATTGCACATAACTTTGTTTTGTTTTTGATAAGGAGAGATTTAGTATTACTTTAATCCATCTGATTCCGAGGGCAAAAAGAAGTTGTAGAAACAATGCTATCAGTTATAAGGTATCTTAAATACAATTTCAACAATGCTATTATGGGTAGCTATTATCGATTAGGACTTAATGTGCATATATGCATATATCATGACTCAATCAGACTCTCTGTTCAATCTTCACTTTCCTATCTACATCTGTCTATCCACAAAGTATTTACTAAACACCTATGTCTTTTTCTATCTTGATTAATCAGTTGTATCCTCACCATATACTTAGAACAGGAAACCTAAACAACTGCCTTCTAAATCTTAGTAGGTTGCTTCAAAGGAAATAATGAGTCCTAGTATACCATGTAGGCCAGTGTTCTACTAAGGAAATCACATTTGTTTGAACATCATTCATTTGGTAAGGATTATGAATGTGCATTCTAGACAGCCAACTGGAGGATAAATTACTGTCTGCAACAACATTTGACAATTGGGCCAAGTCCTGTTGTCTGAATCTGAGCTCCACTCCTCAAAGTCAGTGTGGTGGAGAGAAAATTTCAGAAGCTCACTGTACCTGAAATTTTGACAACTACAGAACAATGAAAATTGTAGTAACAACATCTTAGAATTGTGTGAGGGGGGAAATGATGTATATTCTCAAAGATACTCATGAGAAATTGTGGAAAGATTTGCTAAAATAATCTGAACTATCCTAAAGAACAACTGACTTCACAGGGAATATTTGGTTTTCTATTATTATTATTATTATCGTTATTATTATTATTTGTAATTTCTGGGACTTGAACTTGGGGCCCAGGTGCTGTCCCT